GCGACAAGGGTTCCCGCTCAAAATGTTTCAATTTGTATTCCGAGAGCCCCTGGCCAGAGTGTCCCCTGAACTCAGGAACGGCGCTCTCGCTCGAGAGGACCTCCCAACTCAGTCATTGGCCGACAAGGAAGATACTCCCCCCGAAAAGGGGTGCGATCGAAGACGAAATGGGGGGTATCGAGGGTTGGGGTATACAGAATGCAAGACACGCGTGCCAGTATTATCCCGGCTAAGCAACCTAACAGCGATGTGTAGGAGCATATCTGGAAGCATTCCCCTTAAGATTCAGATGGGAATCCAGTTGTAGAATTTTGCTGTTCTCGCAGTCGTAGTCGCATTCGCGATGACAGTCGCAGTGGCAACGGCAGTCGCAGTCACAGCCTCAGCCTCAGTCTGCCTTCAGCCTCGGCCTGCCTCAGCCTCAGCCTCAGCCTGCCTCAGCCTCAGCCTCAGCCTGCTTCAGCCTCAGCATCAGTCTGCCTTCAGCCTCGGCCTCAGCCTCAGCCTGCCTCAGCCTCACCCTGCATCAGCCTCAGCCTCAGCCTCAGCCTCAGCATCAGCCTGCCTCAGCATCAGCCTGCCTCAGCCTCAGCCTCAGCCTCGCCTCTGCCTCAGCCTCAGCCTGCTTCAGCCTCAGCCTTCAGCCTGCCTCAGCCTCAGCCTCAGCCTCAGCCTCAGCCTGCCTCAGCCTCAGCCTCAGCCTCAGCCTCAGCCCTTCAGCCTCGGCCTCAGCCTCAGCCTGCCTCAGCCTCAGCCTGCATCAGCCTCAGCCTCAGCCTCAGCCTGCCTCAGCATCAGCCTGCCTCAGCCTCAGCCTCAGCCTCGCCTGCTCAGCCTCAGCCTCAGTCTGCCTTCAGCCTCGCCCTCATCAGCCTCAGCCTGCCTCAGCCTCAGCCTGCCTCATCAGCCTCAGCCTCAGCCTCAGCCTCAGCCTCAGCCTCAGCCTCAGCCTCAGCCTCAGCCCTGCCTCAGCCTCAGCCTCAGCCTGCAGCCTCAGCCTCAGCCTGCAGCCTCAGCCTCAGTCTGCCTTCAGCCTCGGCCTCAGCCTCAGCCTCAGCCTCAGCCTCAGCCTGCCTCAGCCTCAGCCTCAGCCTGCCTTCAGCCTCAGCCTCAGTCTGCCTTCAGCCTCGGCCTCAGCCTCAGCCTGCCTCAGCCTCAGCCTGCATCAGCCTCAGCCTCAGCCTCAGCCTGCCTCAGCATCAGCCTGCCTCAGCCTCAGCCTCAGCCTGCCTCAGCCTCAGCCTCAGCCTGCTTCAGCCTCAGCCTCAGTCTGCCTTCAGCCTCGGCCTCAGCCTCAGCCTGCCTCAGCCTCAGCCTGCCTCAGCCTCAGCCTCAGCCTGCCTCAGCATTCAAAATGTGGCCCGGGAATGGAGTTCTGGGAACTCGAAGAACACGAAGTGGCCTACAGTTGGCTCCGGGCATTCAAAATCATTCCCAGGAATGGAGTTCTGGGAACTCGAAGACCACGAAGTGGCCTACAGTTGGCTCCGGGCATTCAAAATCATGCCCAGGAATGGAGTTCTTGGAACTCGAAGACCACGAAGTGGCCTACAGTTGGCTCCGGGCATTCAAAATCATGCTCAGGAGTGGAGTTCTGGGAACTCGAAGAACACGAAGTGGTTTACAGTTGGTCCGGGCATTCAAAATCATGCCCAGGAATGGTGTTCTGGGAACTCGAAGACCACGACGTGCGTTACTGTTGGCTAAAAAAGGAGTCCCCGGATTCCCGCGGCACCCGTCCGGCATCTGTCCGGCATCTGCCCAGACCCCCCTGGGGAGTCATGATGCTCTTTTTTGACCCTACTAGAAACCTATCAGTCTTCGCTGTTAGGTAAAAAGCGAACAGTCTTAAAATGGCAGTTGTTGTTGTTGATCCCCCCATCCAAGGACACATGGTGTTTTCGTCAATTGCAGTGCCCTTCCTGGGGCTCGCACCTGGTTTTTTTTACGAAGGAAAGTCTTGAGTCTCAGAATTGTGTTCTTGGCTCCTGGTTTACAACAAAAGCAACAACGGCTCCCGCCTGATACTTCCTCATAGGTTGTTCCCAAATCGCGCTCTCGCGCTGGAATTCCTTACAATTCATGCAGATATCGCGCTCTCGCGTGGGGCTTTCTCGCAATTCATTCAGGAGTCGCGCCTCTAACCCTTAGGAATCACGCTGTCGCTGGAGCCTTTCTCATGATTTATTTGGGAATCGCGCTATCTCTCGAGACTTCCGCGTGATTCGTGCTCACGCTTCGGCAGTCCGCCTGCTCGACCTGACCGCCTGGGCCCGCCTTCCCGACCCGCTCGTCAGGGTCGACCCGCTCGATCTGCCCGTCTGGTTCTGCCAGGTGTTTTCTGCTACTAGCCCCTCTCCTGCTAATCTCTCTTGTGCTCCATCCCCTTCCCTCCCTCTTCATCCGTCCTCTCTTCCCCTGTTTTGGGGGCTTCGCCATGTACACGCGGCAGGTAGGGAAGATATACCCTCAAGGGGGCTACGATCGAAGACGAACAGGGCGGGTACCGCGGGTTTGGGATATAAGCATTGAATGGCATGCGAGCAGGTAAGAGCGAGCAGTCTTAACATGTTTGTTGTAATTAGTGTTGTTGATGTTGTTGTTGCTGCTGCTGTTGTTGTCGTTGTTGTGGTTGTTGTCGGTGTCGTTGTCGTTGTTGTTGTCGTCGTTGTTGCTGCTGCTGTTGTTATTGTCGTCGTCGTCGTCGTTGTCGTTGTCGTTGTTGTTGCTGTTGTTCTGTTGTTTTTGCTGTTGCTGTTGCTATTGTTGCTGTTGTTGTTGTTGTTGTTGTTGTTGTTGTTGTTGTTGTTGAACATTATTTATTCTAAAGAATAATTATTGTTGGGCCCCCTGGTGCGCGCCCCCCCTGCGCCGCCTAGGCCGCAGCTACATTTTCATCATTTTCGTGAGGAAGCCTCAGAAAAGAGGGTGTGTACAGGATCCGGTTGTTTTGTTGTAATCCGCTTTCCCTTGCAAAAAACAATAGAAAATGACATTTCTTGTTCTAATATAATCAAATTTCAAGAATCCCTTGCAAAAAATAAGGTAAAGTGGACATTCGCGCGCGCAAGACGAAATCCTTCCAAAACCTTAGTGTTCGCAGCGATTTTAACATAAAAACATCAAAAAACCAATGGTTTTTCAACAAAAAATTGTCAAAATCTCATCCCGCGCGCTCTTGCGGATTCGTAGGAAACCCAACACTTTTTAAACATTTCTGTCAAACGGGCTTTTGCGAGCAACTTTTTCGAACTTCTGCGACAACGGTTGCGCACCTGCCAGGGCCATCATCCCTGTCAAATAATACCATGCGGGACACATTCGTTTTTTCTTCGCGCGCGCACGCCGTCGTCGTCGGCCGCGGGGCCCTGAATAGTAGCCACGGTCGTCCGCATGCCACGAAGTGAAGTGTCCGAACGTCATAGGGCGGGAAGCTGGGTGTGGGTGGTGGCGAAGAGTCGTTTGGAAATTTGGTAGAGCTTGAACCGGCCCCCCCACAAAGTGGGGGTATTGCCCGCCTCCTATGAAAACCCTGGCACTGGTGAGAACGGAGTGTCCCCACGTGCTAGTAATTGTTGTTGTTGTTGTTGTTGTTGTTGTTGTTGTTGTTGTTGTCGTCGTTGCTGTTGACGATGACTCTGCTTCTGACGGTGGGGTTGATGAAGAGTAGGGGAGCAGGAAGGGGGCTAGAGGGGCAGAAGCAGCAGTTGGACGATGGGGTGGAGGAGGCAGAGGGAAGAGGGATGTCACGAGGAGGAGGAGGAGGAGGAGGAGGAGGAGGAGGAGGAGGAGGAAGAGGAGGGGGAGGAGGAGGAGGAGGAGTTGGAGGAGGAGGAGGAGGAGGAGGAGGAGGAGGAAGAGGAGGAAGTCAGGAACCTGATGCCGCCGTCCCTCCCCTGCGCTCCCCCAGACAGCCAGCGTCTTTGGTGACACGCCCCCCCCCCTGGACCTCTCGACCCCGTCCGGAGGGCTGATCTTTCCCACCATGTGTTTTTTCAACATTCTTCTGGGGGCCCGATACGGGCCTCCAGAGGCCACGGACCTGGAGCTGGAGACGAACCCGCCGTCGCGATTGTTTTGCGACGCGTTTTGCGACGCCCCTCAGCGTCGACGTGCCGGGTCCCGCCGCGGGGGCCGTTTGTGGCTAGCATTAGGTCGGGCCTGTCCCTGTACAGGGGGAATATTCAAAAATAGTCAAAAAATAGCCGGGGGACTATTTTTTGAGTATTTTTTGACCATTCTGGAGTATTTTTTGCATATCTTTTATTTTTCGTCGAATATCCCCCTGTAGGGGGACACGCCCGACTTAAGGCTAGCACTTCGAAGCGGACGCGGCCGTGGTGGTCACGACCCAGAACTCCGGCGTTGTGTGTGAGGGTGGCTCAACTTTTTCCACGTTTAGACCCCCAAAGATCTGGGCCCCTCCCCACGGACCACTTCTTCATCCCGAGCCTTTTTGTTCACGGTCCCAGGGGGCTGCAGGGGCCCCCCAGGCGCCGGAAAGGATCGAAGGCTTCTCGTCGCGACTTCTTCGCGACGAGAGCCAAGCGGGGGGAGGGCGGCCCAGGAGCTCAGAAGCGAGCAGTGGGCCCCCTCCCGAGGCACTGCGCCGGAGGATGCGGGCAGGCCGCCGCCCCTCCTCCATGGCGAGGGGATGCCCCCCCGTCCGAAGGAAGCCCAGTGCGGCCCGTGGGCGCCCCGACGCCTCGATCCTCGAACAATGACGACGGCCCTGAGCGTCTGCTTCGCGGAAGAAGTTTCGGAATCTCATTGGGATGCACGACCAGAGCCCTGACGCCTCCAGCGCACCATGTTTCTGCGGCATCTTTCGGTTCGGATGGATGTCCGCAACGGCCCCAGGGCCGAGACTGGGCAAAGATGCCAGGTGCGGAAAGATTGCGACGCCAGGACCTCAGGGGCCGTGACGCTGGAGGTCTGGGTAGGCTTCCGCCCCTGCCGTGGCTCGATCTCGCTGTGCCCCCCCCCCCAGAGCCGACCAGGCCTCCGACGGGGTCGTCGGGTTCGTGGGCCTCGGCAACATGGGCTCGCCCATGGCGGCCAACTTGCTGAAGGAGGGCCAGGGGCTCCCAGAGAGGAGGCAGGAGAGAAGGGGGGTAGGAGGAGGGCGGAGAAGGGGGCCTGGCAGGGGAGCGGGCTCCCGACTGGCGTCCAGCTGCACCCCTCGTCAGTCCTGCCCGTGGGAGGTTTTGGGGCTCGCTGAGTCGCCGGCACACCGTCAGATGCTCATACATCTAATGGCCTTCGGCCTATCCCGCCACCATCCCGCTATCGTGCTTGGGCTGTGGGCATGAAGCCTGGTGGATGTTCGTTAGGAATTCGTGGCAGAGGCCTCCCAGGGGCCTCTTGGGTGTAGTTGGGAGGCCTCTTGGGGGCCGTTTTGGGCCCTCTTTGGTTCTCTCTTGGGCCGCTTGGGGGCCTCTTGGGGCCTCTTTGGGGGCCTTTTGGGGGCCTCTTGGGGCCTCCTGGGCGCCTCTTGGGGCCTTCTGGGAGCCTCTTGGGGCAGAAGGCTCGGAGTTTCGGTTCGTGTTCCCTGTCGTGGGCCCCTTTTGGGGCCGTCTTGGGGCTTTCTTGGGCCGTCTTGGGCGCTTTTTGGGCCGTCTTGGGGCGCTTTTTGGGCCGTCTTGGGGCCCTCTTGGAGGCCTCTTGGGCCGTTTTGGGGTGGTCTTGGGGGCCTCTTGGGCCGCCTTTGAGCGTCGGAAAGCAGAAAAAGCGAGAACACCCAAATCCTTGAACAACATGCAGGCAACTCAAGGTTAACCAGCGTGGACCTTGCACTGGTTGGTGTGCAGTCCATGTGGTGTAATGTATGCGATGCAGCCAATGTAAGGCAATCTATGCGATGAGGTCTATGTGGCTCTATGTATGGTGTTCGTACAAATAGCAATCGTCGTGTACTCTCTCCTCCTCGCCCTCGTCCTGTAAGCCTCCTCCCTGTGTCTCCTGCTCCTTTTCTACACTCTTCCTTGCCCCTATTCATCCTCTTCTTCTTTGTTTCCCTTCTCTTTGCTGATGACGACGTTTGCGATGACGAGGGCGATGATGACGAGAACGGTGATATCGGTGAAATAAACGATGGCGGTGGCGATGATGGTGGCGATGGTGGAGAGTTGGGATTGTTTTGCCAGTGCGTGCGAAGGGCGAAGTCTGTAGCGCTGCTTTGCAGCAAGCGCTTTTGCTGTCATCACAGGAAGTACGCACAGCACATACAATCCAAGAAGAAACTATACCCAAGAAAACTCGACCATACGCAAAACACCTCTAACGTACCCAAGACACCTCTTGTGTAATCAAGAGTGCCTGAAAAAGCGTACTAGCGTACTCAAGGCCATCTATTGCAATGAAGCGCTCGCTCTCATAAGAATCGTTGTTCACTCTCTTCATTTTGTGTTCTTCCTCTTGCACTCTTCTTTCTCGTCCGCTACCAGCGCTGATAGCACTGCTCGTACCACTACAGCCATGGCACGGGCGGCACGGGCGGCACGGGGCGGCACGGGGCGGCACGGGGCGGCACGGGGGCGGCACGGGGGCGGCACGGGGCGGCACGGGGCTGCACGGGGGCGGCACGGGGCTTCACGGGGGCGGCACGGGGCGGCACGGGGCGTCACGGGGGCGAAAAGTCGGCAGGCATGGCCAGATCATTAGACCAAGTTAGAGCCCCTAGGTGCAAGCACCTGTTTGGGGAAGGATTGTTGCCTCTTGGGGCCCTCCTGGGAGGCCTCTTTGGAGGCCTTGTCGGGCGTCTTGAAGGCCTCTTGGGCCGTCAGGGGGCCGTCTTGGGCGTCTTGGGCCGATCTTGCGGTGACTCGGGGCCCTCTCGGGCCGTCTTCGGGGCCTCTTGGGGGCCTCTTGGCCCGTCTTGGGGCCCGGCCCGAAAAATCCAGGCGCAACCGCTTGACAGAGCCCAGGGGACGCGACGAGCCCCAAGAGAGTTTCGGCAGTTGAGGCCCAGACCCCTTCAAGACTCCTCAAGACCCTTGCCTGGCCCGGTTTTCTTGGTCGGCCCGCCCCTTGGTCCGTATAAGAGTCGCGGTGCCCGCGCTGCCACGCAGGCGAATAGGCAGGCGTGGGCGGGGCCTTAGTTGGATGCGGAGAGCAGAGGAGCCTGCTCTCCAGTCTGCTCCAGAAGGTTTCCTCAAGATCCAATGGCTGCGCGTTGGGCGGCCCCTGCCTGGCCCCCTCCGAGCCGCCGCCGCCCTGCTGCTCCTGCGGCTGGGCCTCCGCTACCGACTGGCTGACCCTGTGGTCGGGCTGTTGTTGTCCTCCTCCTCCTCCTCCTCCTCCTCCTCCTCCTCCTCCTCCTCCTCCTCCTCCTCCTCCTCCCTCCGCACGGCTGCGATGCGTGAACCGGCCGGGCACGGCGCCTCTCCTCCCTCCCTTGCGCCCCAGCACCGCCGCCACAGCGCCGCCTGGGCTGCCGCCGCGGCGCGCTCCCAGCTGGCGCTTCCAGCCGCGCTGCACCGCTCCGGCAGTCGTCAGTCTCCTGGTGGCCTGTTCCGGCAGCGTCTCGCTGCAGTCCACGCGCTCTGGCCCAGCCCCGTGCGGGCTTCCCGTGCTCTCGCCCCGACCGTGGCCCCGCATCCAGCTGGCGCCCGGCCCTCTGCAGCAGAGCCTGACGCTCCCACCAACGTGACGGACAACTGGATGCTCCCGCTCTCGCAGCCCCATGGGCCCTCTTCCCGACGTGCTGGTTCGCCTTGCTCTCCACGCTTCCAGCGCCCGCAGCCTTGGCTTCGCTCCCTGGGCGTTGCCGTCCTGCCGTTCCGCGCCCACTGCCAGGTCACTTCAGCCGCGAGTGGCCGCCCCGGCGCGATCATCCTGCAACGCTGTCATCTGTGAGTGCCCCGAGTGGCTGCCCTCTTGTCCTCCGTGGCCGTTCCTCTCCCTCGCGCGCCCCTTCTTGCCGCCGGACAGTTCGTGTGTCGTGCGCCCTCGACAGCTCGAGCGCCCGTGCGGATTGCTCTTTCCGCGCCGCAGCGGAAACATGTGTGCGCGTGTTTGTTTGTTTGTTTGTGCGTATGTGTGTGCGTACTGTTTTTTCTTGTGTGTGTGTGTGTGTTTGTGCACGTGGGGGTGGGAGGTAACAGTGCCGTGGCCATGGCGTCTCCCAGATTTCGTTGCCTCCCTTCTTCTCTCAACTCGCCCCCCGCCTCCATCCCTCCCTTTGTCCGCGCGCATCTCCCGACTGCCCGACCACATGGAAAGACATGGGCAGGCGCGACTTACCGTTCAAGCTTCGTTGCTTGTCTTAGAGCACCAGGTACTCCCAGCGAACCTGCTGGACCTGAAAGCGGAGGATTTGGCGCTCTTGCCTCCAGTGATCTGCCAGACTCCGACGTGGGGTTGCTGGACACGGACAGCCCAACACAGGCAGCAGCAGCAACAGCAACAGCAGCAACAGCAGCAGCAACAGCAACAGCAGCAGCAGCAGTGGAGTACGTTGGGGGCGGCGTGTCCAGCTCTGCGCGTGAGCGCCTGGTAGGCCCGCCACAAGCGCCCCTTCCTGGTGTCGCCCTAAACACACCGGCGCTCCACGACAACGACGCCAGGTTCGAATCGAACAAGGCTAATTCCGTCATCCGGTGTTACGACTGCAACAAAAACTCTGGCGCAGACGGAGGTGCCTGGGTCAACGGCGAAGTCCGCCAGTGCCTGCCGACCAACCGGAAAACTGTGTATCAGCGGGGTGTTTGTGCTGCCGTTGGCGGTGCGTGGGTTGTTGGAGAGAAGTGGGTACAACATCAGCAGGCAGCTTATTCCGGAGGGCGTGAAACTTCCCAGCTTCCTGCGCACCCTGGACGACCAGGCGAAGCTCGAGGATCACCAGCACACGCGCAGCCCGCTCCTTCAAGGGTGCCGGGTGGTGAAGCCGACCGCCAGCACACAACTGGAGGACCGCAGGGCTCCTAGAACCCAGCGACGGTTGGCACCGCCATTCCCTGGAATCGTTCTACGGCTGTCCGGCAGCGGAGCCTGCCCTTGAGTTGAAGCCCGGAGACTCAGGGACGGCATGTTCGCTTTCCGCCCTGACGAGCATGTCCGTGGAGCTTTTGCACAGGGCCCGGCATGCGGTGTGCCTGCCTTCCTGGACCGGGTGCGCGCACTCAAGGAAAATACAAATAATGCCCAGTGGTACAGAAAATGTGGTTCAGATTTGGGACGCCCGGCCATCGGACTTCCAGGCCGTCCTGGCCCGGAACGGTGCCGAGGTCTATCCCGGCGACGAGTCGCAGCGTGACAAATAGGCGCCCGCAGAACGTTCAGTCAACGCCCGCTGCCTCCACCACCGACGAGCTTGCGAAGGACCTTGGCCAGCGCATGGCGCAGCAAGCTGCCGGAATCGCCGCCGAAACCGTTGACGACCCACTGGGAATCGTCGCGGACCACATAGTACTCGTCGGCGCAGCGAACCTTTTGGCCATGGCCGCAGAAAAAGGCACCGCGCCGCCTTGCTGACCGATCCAGAGAAGAGGGCAAAAGGCAGCGCTCCAAACCGCATGGAGCGAGCGGCACCGAGCATCCCTGGTCAAGCGCGGCGGCCCCCCCCCCGATCGCCCGAACGCAGGTGCAGGCCCAGATCGACTCCAGCCGGCGCAATCACCAATGCGCTTGGGAGGGCACAGAGACGCCAGGGAAGATCTGCAGAGCCTGGAGACCGCCAGGCACCAGTGGCCATGCCAGCACCAGATGCAGCAGGAACCAGTGAGGACGCGGGCCACGGGCCCCCCTCAGCAGGGGCTACAGCGAAGAGTGGCGCAGCGACCCGCCAGCGCGCCAGCCTTGCAAACCAGCCGCGGCCCTGGTCGCCGCTTCAGCCGCTGCCGCGTCGGGGCTCCAGAGCGGCGTCGCGGCCGCCGTGTCCGAGGGGGCGGCCCTTCGGGCCCGCCGCAGAACCCCCCGCGCGAACGGGCGCGCCAGCAGACCCCCCGGCATGTCGGCCATCGCGCTGGGTTCCGCCCGCGCCCCCAGAAATTCAGCGACCTTGGCGCCAGCTCTGCCGACGGCATGCCGCCCGCCGGCGCTGCGGATGCTCAGCCAACTGCCGAAGGGGGTC